TCTATACTTTTATTATATTCTCATATGTGAAGCATTTTGAGTCGCATTCCTTGTATTAAACGTGCTATATAAATAAAGATCATTATTATTATTACTGCAGTAAAAATGCTCACAGAATGTTACTTCATGCAGGACGAAGGTAAGAGCAAAGCGCTGTCATTTCTGAAGTTAGAGGGAGCAGATGTGGAGCCTGACATGAGCCTGGGGAAGCCACATGTTTTCAGGTGCTGCCCAGTGTCTCGAAGTCGGATCTACTACTACTGTGCGACGTCCAACCAGGAGATGAAAAGGTAGAGGTATCTGTGTTCCTGCAGTCAAAGACATGTTTGCATGTCACTCAGCATCAGTACATGCCTTGGGATTTTTGGTTTTTAACTATGCATTTTATCGTTTAATAATCTAATGTTTTTTGTCTTTTGTGTGCCTAAGGTGGTTGGAGGCTATGAACAGAGCAGCTCACCCAGTATCTCAGGTATGGCAGTGACTGTCTGTAGGGGGCAGTTTGTGGCTGTGTGGGTTAGAACATTGTACTTGGGACCGGAAGGTTGCCAGTTCAAATCCCATGGTTGGTGGTGTGATTTTATCTTTGGGCCCATGAGTAAGGTCCTTAACCCCCAAATGCTTCAGAAATTATTTGACCCTACTTTCTCAATTGTACGTTGCTTATAACATTTGAGCATGTGCCTGTGATTGATTGTCCATGGGGTCCCCTGCCCTGTTCCTCCTGGGCCAGGATTCAGGCTCACTCTGTACTGCATAAGATGAATGTGATTGTTCTTGCTGTCTTGCAGTGGCTGACATATGCCACCTATGGTGTGTTACATACGGTGTGTTACAGAATCACGTGTGGGTAGATGTCACCCGCCACAATGCCAGCCTGCCACCTCTGGCAATCAAGAAGCCCGAATGCCTGGGCCTTTTGCATCAGCTGGACAAGGAAAAGGACATCTGGGTGCAGTACTACTGTATACTAAAGGATGGCTGTCTTTATTTTTACACTGGAATTCGCGCCACCTCTGCTCAGAGTATGTCCTGGAAGATTTTCAGACAAAGACACTGAATCCTGAAATCTATCTGTAGTTTTAAAAATGAATGGATTTTCTTGTTCTTCTTATCCATCCATCCATTATCTATACCGCTTAATCCATCTGGGTCGCAGGAGCCAATCCCAGCATCATCGGGCCAGAGGCAGGGTACACCCTAGGCGGGTTGCCTGTCCACCACAGGGCCAATACAGACAAACAACCACACGCACACCTATAGGCAATTTAGAGTAGCCAGTTGACCTAATCTGCATGTGGGAGGAATTCCTCTGTGGGAGATAACAGGAGCACCTGGAAAAAACCCACGCATGCATAGGGAGAACATGCGAACTCCACACAGAAAGGCACCCTGGGTGACCCGGGGATAGAACCCAGGACCTTCTTGCTGTGAGGCGACAGTGCTAACCACTGCACCACCGTACTGCCCTATTGTTATTATTATTA